GGGTTCGTGCCCCGGTCCGGGAGGATCCCACATGCCGCGGAGCGGCTGGGCCCGTGAGCCATGGCCGCTGAGCTTGCGCGTCCGGCAACGGAAAAGGCCACGACAGTGAGAGGCCCACATATGGCAAAAAAAAAAAAAAAAAAAATCCCATCAAATTCCCGTCTCACGTACCCAACTGAATTCTACAACAGCAGATGCAAAAAACATCTGAACTCCCTCAGAGTTGTGATTCTCCCCTGGCTACTTCCCTTGCCCAAAATTTGCTCATACTTTCCAAATGTTCTTAACAGCCTGGAGCAATTACTGTAGTTGGTCCAGCCAGGCCCCTACACTGGGCCCATCACTCCCCCACACCCATGGGGTCCAGGAAGAGAAGAGAGAGAAAGACAGACAGACAGACACAGAGACAGAGATAGAGAGAAACAGAAATACGGAGACAGACACAGACACACACACACACCCCAGGCAGAGAAAGACAGAGACACAGGGACAGAGAGACAGAGACATACAGAGACAGAAGTGAAGACTGAGAAAGACCCACAGAGGGAGAGGAAGCAGCCCCAGGGAGCCCTAAGGAGAAGGGCAAGCACAGAGCCACTGTCAGGCCTGGAGACCCTCAGATGGACCCACAGGTCTGAGGACTCAGAGCCCAGTTCTGGAGCGATGCGCGGCAGGCAGCAGAGGCCCGAAAGGGCTGTCCAGAGACACCCGTCAGCCTGTTCTCTGGGCAGAACCAGACGTGAGCACAGGGATATGGCCCACTCGGGGCTCTGGTCCCTCGCAGGGGGTGGACATCAAGCATCCCTGGTGTGGCCCTGTGCCCCCCTTCACATGCACCCCACTCCCTACTGCCCAAGACCCACTTCAGGGAATAGCTTTTCCAATGGCAACATCCCTCCCAGGAGGCTGAGCAGTGATGGAATCTATGAGGAGTAGGCTAACGTAGGGATGGCAGAATGGCAGGCATGGGGGACCAGAGGGGAAGCCCGAGGCGGGACAGCCTGGTGGGCAGGTCTGGGCTACAGACCCGGGCTGCCTGGGCTTCAGGGCCCGCTCCCCACTTCCCAGTGACCGTGGGTGAGTGGCTCTCTTAGCCTGGGGCCCTGCCTATAAAAGGTGATCGCAGGCCGGGCTTCATCAGGCTGGGAAGGCATAACGGAAGGACACTCATGCTCAGCCAGGGCCTCCATGTTAGCTTGTCATCATCATCGTGACCACCCCGGGAAACCCCTTTCCTGTCAGCCCCCCGAGAGAACTGGCCTCAGCCTGAAATCCCACCAATCCAGTGTCAGGCAGAGAAGAGGATCCAGCAGGTCCGAGTGGGCCACTTCCCTCCCCTGTCCTGGCTCCCAGGCCCCACCCACCCCCACTGGTGCTGCAGTGAGATGAGCACTGACCTCACCCAGCAGCTGGGCGGCCGTTAATGAGCTAATGTGCGTCCTCATGGTCATGAAGGAGCATAAAGACACTGCTCAGCACGTGCGGAAAGGACATCCATCACGCAGCCGGCCAAGGATGAGCAGATCATCCGGCCACAGTCCCTGCCCCACCCTAGGCAGTGACAGTGAAATGACAGCCTCTGAGGCAACTGGGGGACCCTAGGGGACAGAAGCATCTGGGCCACTGGCTGTGATTCCTCTATTTAGATAGAGAGCAGATGCGCTTCTAGCGTGGACGGTCCTGAGGTTCACTGAAATAGCAGAAAAACCTCTCTCAGCAGCAAACCATGAGCACTTAATCTGTGCACATTCTCCCCCTCCAACTCAGCTCGACTTTCTGCCTAAAGAATAGTAAAAGGCAGGCGCCCTCCAGGGCACAGTGGTCCCCACGGGCTGGACACACTCGGGCAGCTGGAGGGGGCAGTGGGGGAAGCTGTCCCTCTCCGGCCAAGAAATGGAGCCAAGCTCGTCCCTGGACCCCCCTCTGGCTGCCCAGCCTCTGCGCGCCCCCAGGCTCAGCCCTTCTCCCAGCTTTCGCCTAAGCCATCCCCCCAGCCCAGCACGCCTACCCCCTCTCTTGTTCCCCGCCCAATCGCAGCAGCACCCAAACCCTCAGAGGAGCTCCCGGCTGAGGCCAGGCCTTACCTTGGACAGGTCCTCGGAGCCCCCGGGCTGGCCAGCGGCCAACAGGGGCGAGGGCCGCAGCAGGGGGTCAGGCAGCAGCTCCAGGCGAGGGCGCTTGCTCTCCAGGAATTCCATCTCCGACTTGCCCAGCTCAGGCAGGTATGAGTGCGACTCGGCTCTCAGGTGAAGCTCCTGGGACCTGTGGGGGGCAAAGGCACACGGCATCACGTCTGCTGCCCATCCTGCGGGAGGAGTGCCCATCTGCTCAAGGGCACACAGAGAGGCAGGACTCAAATACAGCTCTGTCTTCCTCCAAGTCAGCATTCACTAACTACGTTTACAGCAAGAGAATGTACTGGTGATTGATTCCCTGCTCCCTCACTGAGTGTGGCCCCCAGCCCAGCAGCCTCAGCCCCTCCTGAGGCTGGTTACAAATTCAGAATCTTGAATGCCACCCCAGACCTATTGAATCTGACTCTGCATTGAAACAAGATCCCTGGTGATTCACGGGGAAAGTCTGAAAAACACTGTGGGTCTAACACAGACAATAACACACATGATGCTGTTTGCAAATCACTCACCCAAAGCAGACATCACTAGCTGATCACAGCACTCTGGCTGCTCAACCTGGCCTTGCCTCCTTTTCAAGTCAGCCCAGCAGCCTTATGCAGAGATAGGAGCTGTCCAGCCTAATCACTCCCAACTAACTCTCCTTAACCCTCCTCCCCAGTTTGCAGAGGAGGAAACTGGCCCAGAGAGGCCATGGCCTTGCCTGAGCACACACAGCTGAGCCACGACTCCCAGCCTCCACCTCCAGCTCCTGCCCAAATACTGCCCCTGCTGAAATGCTTTTCCAGTTGATGTTTTTTGCCCAACAAACTTAGAATAGAATCCAAATGTATTCCCCCCACCCTGAGGCCCTGTCTGGTCTGGCCCTTGTTCACCTTGCCCACTGCATACCTGCCTCAGGGGCTGTACACTGGCTAGGCCGGAACACTTCCACACCAGCTCCTTCCTGTCCCAGTGCATGGGGCGTCTCCTCCTAACAGCAGTCTCCCTGCCCACCAGATACACCCCATCTCAGCCCATCTCGTTTTCTCTTTCTTTGTTTGCAGCCATCACCATTTGCTTGTTGCTTCACGCATGTCTGGCGGCTGCCTCCCCCGTCCCAGAGTGTCTGCTCCACAAGGGCAGGGACATTCATCTGTCTAGTGCCTGGCATACAGCAGGCGCTCCATCAGTGCACGTAGGCTGAACGATGGTTACTGACTGCAGTGTGGGCTGAGGCTATGCTGCTGTCCTCTCCTTCCTGGGGGGCCCGTCTCTCGCCAAAGCCAGGTCACAAGATGCCCCTCCTGCCCACCTGAGAACCCACAACTTCACAATTACAAGATGCCCTGCAGGAAGCAGGTGGCGTCTACACTGAAACATGAAAAGGGCACCGTAATAGGTTAGTGTCATGTCATCTCAGAACATCAGAATGTGACCTTCTCTGGAGGTCTTTGCAGATGTAGTTAACTGAGATGAGGTCATACTGGATTCAGTTGGGACCTAAATTCGATGACAAGTGTCCTCCTAAGAAGGGCCGAGGACACAGACACAGAGAGGGGCAGAGACTGGGGTGATGCAGCAGGAGGCCAAGGAACACCTTAGGGCTCCAGAAGCTGGAAGAGGCCAGGAACAGGTCCTCTCCTAGAGCCTTCAGAGAGAGTGCGGCCCTGCTGGCATCTGGCTTTCAGACTTCTGTCCCTCAGGAACTGGGAGAAAACACGTTTCTGCTGTTTTAAGCCACCCGGTGCAGAGGGACTGAAGCCATGGCCCGCGGCAGTGGCCTCCCCGTGGGGCCCTGGATGCCTCCATGCAGTTGTGGCAGCACAAAAGGCCCAGGCCAGCTCTCCGGAATTCTGGTGCCACCTAGGCCACCCCTCAACCTCGCAGCCTCAGCAAGGTGACAAAGGAAGAGATGATGGGACGGGGCCCCTGGGCCAGCCCAGCCTCAGCGGTCCCTGCTTGCCCCTAGAATCACTGCACATGGCTGGAAGGATCTGAGGGTGGAAGTTATATCCCGGCCCTCCAAAGCTCCAAACCCTCCCATAGTCCCCTCGAAGTTCACCCTCCTGGCCCCCAGCCACCTGGCTCAGCCCAGCCACCCGGCCTCCTCGCCTTTCTGGAACACTCCAAGCACATGCCCACCTCCAGGCCTTTGCGCGTGTTGCTCCCTCCACCTGGAAGGTCTTCACCCGGCTCTCTGAGCGGCTGGCTACTTAGTGGCCAAGCATCTCTCCCCTGAGAGGCCTTTCGCGGCCTCTCCAGCCAAATAGTAGCCCTTCCCTGCCCTGCAGGAAACAGGTCACCTGCCTCATTCTGGGGTCACCTTGTGTGTTTGTTGCATCTCCCCTGCTAGACTGTGGGCTTCCTGCAGGCAGGGCTGCCTGTCTAAGTGTCTGCTGGCAGCCCGCAGCCTACAGTAGGCCATCGCATGTTAGAAGCTCAGGACTCTCAAGAGTTCCCTGGTGGCCTAGTGGTTAGGATTCCAGGCTTTCAGTGCCGTGGCCTGGGTTCAATCCCTGGTCGGGGAACTGAGATCCCACAAGCGACGTGGTGTGACAAAAAGAAGCAGCAGACCACCTAGAGGGGTGGGATAGGGAGGGTGGGAGGCAGGGAGACGCAAGAGGGAAGAGATATGGGAACATATGTATATGTATAACTGATTCACTTTGTTATACAGCAGAAACTAACACACCATTGTAAAGCAATTATACTCCAACAAAGATGTTAAAAAAAATTTATATACATAATTTTGTCACAAAGAAGTAAGATAGTGTGATCAATAAAAGATTTTCAAGCATTAAAAAAAAAAAAAGAAGCAGGGGCTTCCCTGGTGGCGCAGTGGTTGAGAGTCTGCCTGCTAATGCAGTGGACACGGGTTCGAGCCCTGGTCTGGGAGGATCCCACATGCCGCAGGTCGGCTAGGCCCAGGCCCGTGAGCCACAATTACTGAGCCTGTGCGTCTGGAGCCTGTGCTCTGCAACAAGAGAGGCCGTGATAGTGAGAGGCCCGCGCACCGCGATACCGCCAAAAAAAAAAAAAAAGCAGCAGCAGCAGCTCACAACTCTTAGCAATTAGAGCTGTTACTGTCTCAGGCACCTTGGGGCCCTGCTCTGGCCTTGGCCCTCCCCTCACTGGGTCCCCACCCGCCGTATGGCTTGCTCTCTCCCACCTGGATTTCAGGAAGGCCAAGGGAGGCCCACAGGCCCAGTCTGCCAGCTGAGGGATGGCAGAGGACTCGGAGAAAAGGGGATGACAAAGGGAGGGGAGGAAGGGGGCTCCCCACGTGCACCCAGCTGTGGACACATCACTCCCAACCAGCAACCGAGCCCCACTCCCCTACTTCTTGGTGGTCACCCCCTCCTGCCTGGGCCACACACGCAGAGGCCACTGCAGGCTCACAGCGGGAAGTCCAAGGGCCACTTGGCTCTTCCCTGCCCATCCCCAGCCCTGTCCCAGTCACAGCCGCACCAGGACAAGGGCACAGCCTGACACCCCTTCGTTTAACACCAACCCTGCGAGCTCTTCGTGAGCACAGGCCTCCACTTCCCCATCTGAGCAATGGATGCGCAAACCCCTCCTCACCTTTCATTCCCAGGCTGAAATTCGGACAGCAGGGAGGGCCTCCTCCGCTGGGGCTGGATGATGGAGCCAGGCGACAGGTGTGAGGTGTAGTCACGGGGGTGGTGCTGGTACTCAAGCAGCCCGACGTCCTGCAGCAGAGGACACAGACCAGTGAGCACCCATCCCGCCGCAGTGCAGCCCACACGGCGAGGCAGGGCCAGAGCCCCCTGCCCGGTGCTGCTTCTGTACCCGCGGACCCTCCCACGTCCTTTCCCGGCCCTCCGACCCAGTCCAGCCAGAGGACATTCCTGGGGCCAATCGCCAAGGAGAAGTGACACATTCAGCTAAAGGACAGCTGGTCCTGCCCTCTTTCCAGATGAGACAACCGAGCCCACGTGTTAGCAGAGACAAATGGAAAAAGGCACAACCTGCACGTCTGCCATGGGTGCAAGTGACACAGCAAGACACGGGCATCCACGCCAGGGGACTGTGGATGACACGGCAAATGCTGACGGTCTGCAAGGCTCAAAGACCAGATTCCGAAACAAAGCCCCGACGTGGGAGTCCCCCATCCTACAGAGGGAAAGCCTACAAACGTGTGTCACATAGGCAAGCACAGCTCGAAGTCAGAAGGATAAACTCCAGGCAAAACATGCTTTCTTCAGTAATATGCCACCCATTGCCCATTGCCACCTGTGGAAACACTAACAAATTAGATGTACCCCGATTAGCAACTACACCCTGATTTGAGACACGTTAAAATGTTTAAAGAAAAAAAAAAACAAAGATAGAAAAAAGAAGCCTTAAAAAGGAGAAAACAGGACAGGCTTCCTATGTGTACCAATCCAAATCGATTAGTTGTGCCTGCAGAGAACACCCAGTTATACTGTGGGGTGGCAATCAATTAGTGATGTCTGACTCAGTAAGGCTTGGGAAAGCGTGGGATTGTAGGTGATTTGTTTTCTTCTTGGCACCCTTCTTAATTCTCCCAATTTTCCAAAAAAATCTAGTCATTCTTTTGCTGTCTGGCTTTTTTTTTTTTTTTTATTTAAGCAGTTATTTCTGCAGAGAGAATTAGATGATACCACGTAGGTGTGTTGGAAATGTATGTGTTTCAGACCCTCCAAAACAAACACATGTAAGAGGCTGGGAGGCTGGAGGCGAGAGAGGATGAGTAACTAGAATCAAGAGGGATCCTGTCAACCTCAGAGGCTGGAAATGAGGGAAGGGCCTTCCTGGGCAGCCCAATGTGGAAGCAAGAAGCTGCACGGCCTCGGGCTAGAGGTATCTGTCCATCCCTTAAACTCTCTGAGCCTCAGTTTCTCCATCAGTGAAATGGATCCCTGAATTCCCTGGCGGTCTAGTGGTTGGGACTCCGCGCTTCCACTGCAGGGGGCATGGGTTCAATCCCTGGCCGGGGAACTAAGATTCCGCATGCCACGCGGCACGCCCACCAGAAAAAGAAAGAAAACTGAAATGGATGCCTGACCCAGATGGAAGGAGGCCTCTGTGTCTCCCACCAAGCATCCCCCTTAACTCTCCAAGGGTTTCCCTTAAGACTGAGGGCAGCTTCCCGAAGGCAGAGGACTCAGCCTGCCCCCTCCACCACACTCCACGATGTCGTGCACAAGGCACCAGGTGCTAATGAAGGAACAAGAAGAAAGGGCTGGAGGGAGGGGGCGGCAGTTTCTGGGATCATGCCGGCGCGGCTGCCAGGTACAGATCCGGTGTGCACACGCACGCAGAGGTGTGAGAAGAAATCAGCAAGCACTGCAGTCTGCTGGGAGGAAAATTCCCTCTCACACAAAAGCAAAATGAACAAAGCAGCAGAGAGGCAGACGGTCCAATCCCTTGGGAGAGGGCCCCGGCAGGACGGCGCCTACCACTGCCAACAGAAGCGGGAAAAGGCACATGGCCCCCAGGGCTCCCGAGGCAGGGGCATGTGGCGGCCACTTGCAGGAACCCTTCTGGCCTCAGTTTCTCAGTCTGGGAACCAAGCAGGATGACCTCATTAGCACGGTCCCTCCAAGGAACATCTTGGGGGCCATTTCTGTGGTGTCCACACTGATCTGCACCCCAGGGCTCTGAGTCCAGGGACCACCGAGGGTCCCTGCATCTCTACAGGAAGGCAAGAACTGGGGAGATCCCAAGAGAGACCGAAGGTGGGGCTCACTGTGGTCACAGGAGCCTGAAGACACCAGGCACTCAGGCTGGAAACCTCCAGCCACGTCTCAGAACACGAGAACCCTCCACGTGTTAACAAAACATTCCAACCCCACCTGCTGCCCTCACACATGTACGTGGCCCAAGCAGGCTCCTGCGTCCATGACCCTTGGTCTGGGGGGAGCGCTGAAGACGAGAGGATTCAGATCCTACTTGAGAGCTTGTTGACGGGACCGCGGCATCTGAGTGCACGGCCAACACAGTCCTGCTGGCCTCGGCCTAGACCCGTCCCCGTGCCCGCGAACTGCGTCACGTGCGGAAGGACCATGTATCCATTTGTGACGAACTGGAAATGAAACAGACTGGTCCTTCCCACAGAGAGCCTGATAAGCACTGATCTAGGGCAGGAGTCAGCAAACGGGGCCCAAGGCCAAAGCCAGGCTCGGCCTGTATCGTCAGGTGTCACTGGCACACGGCCATGGCCATTCCTGTACGTGTTGGCTGAGCTGCTTTCACGCTAGGACGGCAACAGTGCCGGAGTAGTTGTGACCGAGACCGAGTGGCCAGAAAAGCCTGAAATATTTGCAGAGAAGGTTTGCCAGTCCCTCCTCTAGAGGAAAAGCCCACAGTGTACCCTGGGGGCCATTCGGAAAAGGATACTAGCGGGCACGTTGTCATGACAGCAGCAGCATCAAAGTCATCAACACTGCACTGTATCAGTCGCGCTTATCAGCCCGGGCGTTGTGCAGAGGCCTCTGCACATGTCAACTAACTTGATCCTCAGGGTCTTATAACTACCCTCGCTCAACTGATGGGGAAACTGAGCAACAGGGCGGTAAGACCACTCGTCCAAAGTTTCACAGCTAGGAAGTCACTGAGGCAGGACGTGAATGCCAGCGGTCTGGCTCCAGAGTCTGTGCTCTGAAAAGCCCTTCTAACACTAAGGCACAGAGAGGCTAAGTAACTTGCCTAAGGCCACACAGCAGGCAGGAGTGGCGCTGGGATCGACACCCGTGTCTTTGGACTTTATTTAACACATTCATTTAGTGCAAAGCTTGCAGGAACTCAAGAGAGCTCAGGGGGTCCCGCAGGGCTTGGGAGAGAAGGCAGAAGTGAGCTGGGCTCTAGAAAGCTGGAAAGGAGACAAGGAGGGGAGGATGTGTTGGGACCCTCAATCCTGGGAGACCCTCAGTGCCAGGAGCCCACCAGGACCCTCAGGGAAAGATGTGGGGTCCTGATACTGTGGGCGAGGGAAGCCGAGACCACAGAGAAGGAGAGAACAGGGCTCAGAGAGGCTCTGAGGGTGGAGCAGGTGGGATTGAACGAGCCATGCGTACCGGCACCATGAAGAGAGGCTCGGAGTGTGCCTGAGGCTGGGTCAGGGGAAGCACACCTGGAATTAAGCCCTCCATCTGCGCCGGCGTAACACTCCAGGCAGCCTGGACATGACGCAGGCTGAGGCACAGGCCAGCAGAGAAGGCGGCTCCCACCGCCCCTCTCAGAGTGCAGAGCCTCTTTGGTCTCCTGCCACCCCGCCAGGAGGAAAGAGGCGGCTGCCACATACAGACACCGCCCCGGGCACCTCGCAAACATCTGCCAGTGATGCTTAGGCCCACAACACCCATATTGCAGATGGGAAAACTGGGGCTGCCCCCACGGGGTTAAGTGAGCAGCCAAATGTCACTCGGTGAGTTGGGAGGAACAGGGATTCAAAGCCACATCTGGAGGTTCTTCTGGGCTCCGGGGTGGGGGGGAGGGGGGGCGGGAACTCACCATCAAAGCAGCCCCATGCCCAGACACCCTGGAAGAAGCCTCCAGGGCCAGGAGGTGCCACCCTGGATGGAAGCCTGTTGGGAGCAGGTACGGGAGTGAGCTGAGTCCCAGGAAGGTCACAGGCCACGGGGTCCAGGCCCCGCCCCCTCAGCCCAGCAGACCTGCCTCAACTACTGTACAAGGAGCTGGGACCCCTGGGTTCCCACCTGGCCCTTGGATGGGGCATTTGCCTTCCACGCCTTTTTCCCTTTTCCTCCGCCCTCTGTCTTCCAAAAACCCTCTGCCCCCCAAAATGGGGGCATCTCACAAACCCTGCCTGTACAGTGGGCTGGCGGTAAGGGGTTAGGGGGCACAGGGCTGCAGGGGGACCTCCAGATTACAGTCCCAACACTCACCTCCCACCAGCCAAAGAAAAGTGGCTCCAGCCCCAGACACATGCCCAGGAGAGCAAGACCCCCCCAGGATGCCTAGAATTCTTGTTCCTGCCTTTCCAGTAACAAGCAGGGGCCCCCAGCTGGGTCGCCCAAGCACAAGGCAGGGTGATCAGGAAGTGGGGCCCCACTGCTGCCACCACACAGGATAAGGATGCCCTGCCTCGTAGCTACCCAGGGCCCCTGCCCACCCCCAGCGTCAGCCTCCTGCCCGGAGGAAGTGACCACTGGGTCCTACCCGGCCACATCCTGCGTCACTGACGGCCCAGCGGGAAAAGCGCGGGCAGTGTCTGAGATCAGCTGGTGACTCCAAGTGACTGCGAGAGGGCCCAGCTGGGGCAAAGGATGGGGGGATTGCAGGATGGCAGGGGCCATAGGGACTCAAGGACTAACGGAGTCTGGGCCCTTGGGGAGGGAGTGGGAGAGGGGTAGGAATCTGGCAGGAGGGGACAAGAAAGAAGAGAAACCAGAGGCAACCGCCAGGAGCCCCCAGGGGAGGCAGCCCCTCCAAGCAGCTGTAGTGACAGTGACAATATTGCAAGTGGACACACCTGGCTGAGTGTCTGCCAGGCACTGTCATAAGGACCTTCCACAGATCATCACGTTTAATCCCCAGGAGAATCTAGGAGACAGATGCTCTCATTACTCCATTTTATGGATGAACAACCGAGGCTCAGAATCATTAAGCGACTTGTCCTGTTTCCTCACCTGCAAAATGTTCCCCGTCTACAAAGTGCAGAGCATAAGAGTACCGTCACTTCAGTGATAAAGAGAAGCAAGTGCAACTATATACATAAAGGGCATAAACAAAATGCTCACCCTGTAGTAAGCACTCCGACGACAATGCTTAATTTTGTTATTGTGATTATGGTAAAGGTGATAACCACACATAATAGTAAAGGACCCCCAGGAGCACAGTCCTCGGCCCTGGGCACACAGTAGGTGACCAATAAATAGTCATCCATTTCACAGGCGCTCAGAGTCCTGAAGCTGAAGCCGACTGCCTTCTCATGGTGATTTAACCCGAGGCCTATTGTTTAACCTCCCAGCCTCAGTCTCCTCATCTGCAAAATGGGATGATAATGCAAGGTGCTCTTTCATCGGGTTGTTTGTGAGAATTCGACGACCCCATCCAGAATGTGCCCGTTTACCACAGCTGGCTCTCAAAAGCATCTTGGGGGCCCAAATCCTCAAGAGGCCACTGTTCTTGGGACACCCTCAGGCTGGTCCAGTGGGCTCACATGCAAAAACATCTCGCTCATGGAAGACAGAAAAACCCTCCCATGCCACTTCCTCTCTGCATCTTACGAGGGACCACACCAGCCAGGCAGGACAGATACAGGCGTGTTCACATAGGGGCCAGCACAGCAAGCTTTGACCACAGCTGCAACCGCAAACCCTCACATTCCTTCACCAAGCAGCCAGGAGGTCAAACGGGGGAGGCCCAGGACCCTGAGAGCCCTCTGGCAAGCCCCTGAGGATACAGAACATAACCAAGCCTCATCCTCAGGGCCACATGCAACTAGAGATAAAGTCAGGAAAGGGGGCCCCCACTAGGAGGTGGACAGAGTGGGGTGCAGCTCGAAAGAGCTGACCAATGGTACTTCCCTGGCGGTCCAATGTTTAAGACTCTACACTTCCACTGCAGGGGGCACGGGTTCGATCCCTGGTCAGGGAACTAAGATCTCACAGGCCATGCGACGCAGCAAAACATTTTTTTTTTTTAAAAAAAAAGCTGACCAAGGGCACGCCCGCTCCCTCCCCAGCAGGCCACCCCCCCACACACTCACACAACAATGGGGAGAAATAGGAACCCAGGGACAAGAGAAGGCCCCAAAGGTGACCCCAGGCGCACATTCGTGCCGCTTACCGTGTGTGGCCGGGCGATCTGCACGGGGTAGGAAACGCCGTGGGGTGGGTAACGGGGCTCGGTGGCCCTCCACGTCTGTGCCACGGGCTGCGTGGACCCCGACATGGTGGTGGGCGTCCAGGGGGGCTCGTGGGCCCCTGTAAGTTCCCTCTCAATGGTCTCCAAGGATTAAAAGCCAGTCTTCGTCATCTGCTCGAGGGCCACCCTGTGCCAGGCACCTGTGAGGAGACCAGAAAAGCAAAAGCGAGATCAGTCACAGGGCGGCTGCTCCTTGCAGACCCTGGCGGGGCCCCAATTCCTTCCTGTGGCCCCTGTGAGGAAGAGAGAGCAGACAGGGGTCCTCCGGGACCCTCCTCCATGCCACTAGCAAGCTCCGTGCCCACTGACAGCAGTGGGAGACGCCACGTGGTGTCTGAGGCCTCTCCAAGCCACAGGCCAGCAGCTGTGGCACAAGCCACATCAGTGACAGCCATGTCCTCCCCCGCTGCCAAGGCCCTCGCTCAGCAGGCACGGGAGCTCGAACTCTGCGGGCATTGCCCCCACGACCCCCCTATGGCTCCCAAGCACCCTCAGCCCACCCAACCCCATCCCAAGTCCTCTGCCAGTTTGAGTCACCAGGGCAAGGTTCCCCAAAAGCACCTGGCAGCTCAGGCAGGCACCTGCTGTCCCAGGAGGGGAAAAGTCCGTACAACCGTCCAGGGTGATGGTGGTGAACAGGGTCGGCTCGGGCAGAACACAGGTCATAGTGTAACCCCGGGCAAGGTCGGGCCTGCCTGGGCCTCCCAGTGACCCTCTGGGGAGGGTGAGTGACACTACGAAGGGGGAGCAGGACAGATGTGAGGTTGGCCCGGACGTGAACTGAGAGCGAAGCGACTGGGAGCCCGAGGGCCACGCTGGGGAAACAGCTGAGGACACAGATGAGAGCCGGCTGGGCCCCCTGTGGCTCCCAGAGGGGCAGGCAAAGGATGCTGTCCACGGGGAAGCACTCATGTGTCCATGATGGAAGGAATCCACTGGCTTTACAGATGGGGAAACTGAGGCCCAGGAAGAAGAAAGGACTCAAGTCAAGAGAGCAAGAGAGCCCCTGGTCAGAAGGGGCCTTTGCCCAGAAATCTCCGGGGGCCCTCAACCTCCCCAGGACCCTTCTCTCCCTTCTCCACCAGCCACTGCTCCATGCAGCCTGCCCAAGGTTATAACTGGCTCCGCTGCCCAGGCCCGGGCTGAAAGCCGGGCAGGTCTCAGGCCTCCGCCACACTCAGCCACTCAGAAAAGGGCTGTCCATCAGGCCCCTGCCATGTGCAAACCCCCGACTCACACCTGCCACCCAGGAGCTAAGGAGAATCCAAGATGGCGCAGGGGCCCGGCACCTGGATGCTCCCATATGATGTACCCTCTCGGGCCAGGGTTGCATCTCATGTGTACCCCCAGCTCCCTGTACTTTCATCACAACGGCCCTCATCGCCCTGCCCTCCACTGACAACTGTCTTTCAAGGGCGTGGACGCCCTAAACCTCTGCCCTTTGGAGGTCTGATGTGGAGGGATATTGGAAGGGAAGATTGAGATTATGATGGTCAAAGGAAGAACAAGACCCCCTTCCCTCCCACCTGGGGGCCAGGACTGCATCCCACTTCCCACCCCCATCTCCTACTACAGTAGACTCAACTTTTTTTTTAGGAACCATCTTCCCTCCCCAGACTCCAGGAGTGATCATGTGATCTGGGCCTGGCCAATCAGATTCCTGCTTCCCCTGGGCCAGCGACTGGTTCAGGGATGGGCATCTGACCCAATCTGGGCCAATGAGAGTCAGTCTTGAGACTCTGAGAAGGAACCAGAAACAGGCACTATCCACTGGGGCTGTACGCCAAGAGGATGAAAGCATGGAGCTCTTGGGGGCCACCACTTGGCAGGGACCTACCCGAGACCATACCCCCAGGAAGGCAGATCTGAAGGGTAGAGAGAGCACAGTTGGGTCCTGATACAGCCATGCCTGAAGGCAGATCAAAGCTGCTTTTTCATTTAGGGAAGCCAAGGCACTCCTTCTGTGTGTTTTGCCTTTGCCAGCCCAACCCAACTTTCTGTCACTTGCCATCAAAAGTTCTGACTCACCCAGAGAAGGAGGGAGTCACAAAGGAGGCAACCTTTCCGTCGGGTGCTTTCAATCCTTCCAACACTGCAAAGCCAAAGAATTCCAGAGCCCAAACTGCCACACCTATGACCACCTCAGGAAAAAAGCCCACGTGGACTTTTCCCAGACACCGCGACAGGATGCACTGTGTAATTCTTATGAACGTGGGAACAGTCCTGCTCAGCAAATGGGAGCTACTATTACTACAGTCACTAGTTCTGTCACTGCAGTAGCTGCAGCCCGGTCACAGCGATGTTGTGGACATGGAAGGGAGGCAGAGCTGCCCCCGCCAGTCCCCACCAAGAGCAATGCGGCAGCCCTCCTGCAGCCCAGAGACAAGAGACTGGCCTTGGGAGAGGGGTCAGTTGTGACCACCAGCGCTGGACCCTGTCCCAGAATTCCCTGTGTCCCAGCTCATCACAAAGCCCAGCAGACCCTGGTGGTCTGATGCAGCAAAGCCAGTTCTACTCCGGCCTCTCTCTGGGTTTTAAATGGTTGCCCGCTCTCTGAAAGAGGAAGAGAGCAGCACCTGGGCAGAGAGAAGTTCAATCTGCTTGCCTTTCCAAGGGCACCACACGCAACTTCCAAGTTGCTATGTGACCTCGCATTGCATGAGGCGGTGACAAGTCTAATTTACCCGTAGATTTCTAACCCCCTTTGCCTAATGAAAGGCCGACTGAGGGATGGCAGCCCCGGAAAGATGCTCACGGCGTGCACTGCATGTGGGCTCCAGAAGCCAGGGAAGTGACACCTTTTCAAAGCAGCCCTGGAGAATCCTCAGCCACTTCCCCACCCTCCTCGTGCCAAGGCCTGGCTTCCCACGACCTCAATGTTCACAGAGTGTCCACCGCCGAGCTTGGGGTTCATGCCCCCACCACCCACCTGTCAGAGGATCACCCCGCCAGCTCCACGGCCCAGCATCCTCACATGCAGGTTGTCCCCGAAGCCAGGGGACTCTGGGGATCTTGCACCTCCTGCAGTCACCACGAGCTTATTTTCTATCTCCCCCAACCTTAGCCACATCTTTTGCCAACTTGAAAAAAAGATTTATTTTTAGGAAAATAGTTTGACAGTTCCTAAAAATGTTAAACATAGAATTACGGTAGGACCCAGCAATTCCACTCCTAGGCATATACCCAAAAGAATGGAAAACAGAGACTGAAACAAATCAAGGTATTCACAGCAGCAGTATTCAGTATAGCCAAAGGTGGAAACAACCCAAGTGCCCATTAACCAATGAGTGGAGAAATAAACAGAACGTGGTCTATCTGTACAACGGAATATGATTCAGCTATAAAAAAGAACCAAGCACTGACACATGTCACAACGTGGATGAACCTTGCACACGTGATGCTAAGTGAAAGAAGCCAGACACGAAAGGACAGATACCATGTGATTCCACTTACAGGAAATGTCCAGAAGGATAAATCCACAGAGACAGAAAGCAGACTGGTGGTTGCCAAGGGCGGGGGGTGGGATGGAGGGGTGTGGAGCGACTCATGGGTATGGGGGTTACCATGCAATGACGGAAATGTTTCGAAACTAGATAAAAGTGGTGTTTGCATAACACTGTGAACGGCGGGGCAGGGGTGGGGGTTAAGCTTTGACCTCATCAGCAACATTTGGAGGTGCATGCCAGGAAAAAATATGACGTTACTTCATCAAAGACAAGGGTAGGAGAGGATGACAGCAATCCATGGGGCAACGTGGGGTCTCCTGGATCTGGTCTTGGCTGAAAAGGGTTCTGAGAAATGGATCCAGGTTAGAG